ACTGTGTAGACTTGGCTGGCCTCAAATTCATAAGAGATTTGCCTGTCTCTGCTTCCTAAGTGCTGGAATTAAAGGTGTGGGCCACCATGTCTGGAAATATTTTTTGCTTTCTTTTTTTGGGGGTGGGGTGTTGTAGGATATTTTGAGAGAGTGTTTCACTGTGTTGTATAGTCCTAGCTGTCCTGGAACTCACGTTAGAGACCAGGCTGGCTTCAAACTCATGGAGATCCACCTACTTCTGCCTTTGGAGTGCTGGATTAAAGGCATGTACCACCAATTTCTGGCCTAGCTGTATTTTCTAACGAAGACTTAAGCAGCTATTGTTTAAAAAAAAGTTCCAATGTGACTACTTTACATACACTTATGAAACTCCAGCATAATCAATTAAATAAATGTTTTTATAATTTTGAATAAGCCATAGTCTATTATTGTTTCACTGAAGTATCAAAATATGGAAAAAGGTGCAGGGGAACCAAGAGACAAAATACTACACTTTCTGTCACTAGAAGCTGAGTAACAGAAATAAGTGGAAGTGATGTTAGCTGGTGGCAGGGACTTTATCTTGGGATGGGGCATATGTGGAAAAAAACAAAGTTTTCTGCAAATATTGCAGTTATATCTGATCTTTATAAATATTAATCAGTGACTGGAGAATTAGCTCCGGTTAGTTGTTGTTGTTGTAGGAGTTGTAGGAGTAGTTGTTGACTTTCTCAAAGTCAGAATGGCAAAGATCAAGAAAGCAACAAATGTCAGAGAGAACCTAGAGGGGGAGGGAACCTTCATTCACTGTTAGTGGGATTGAAAACTGGTCAAACTTCTGGAAATCAATGCGGAGAACCCTCAAAAAGCTAAAATTAATCTATAATATGACTCAGCTATACTAATTCTTGGCATACGCCCAAAGTATTCAACAGCTTACTCCACAGACTTGCTCAGCCAAGTTTATCACTGTTTTATTCACAATAGCTAAGGAATAGATACAACCTAAATGCCCTTCAACTGATGAATAGGTAATAAAAAACATCTGCACCAGGAAATATTATTCCACTGTAAAGAAAACTGAAATCATGAACTTTGCAGATAAAAGTATGGAACTAGAAAAGAGCATATTGAGTGAGGTAACAGAGACTGAGAACGACAAATGCCACATGTTCTCCCTCATCTGTGATGTTTAGCTCCCAGTCTTTAGACGTGAGGGTATTAGCTACAGCAACTGCAGAAGTCAGGAAAGTAAATGAGGAGAAGCAGAATGGGGGATAACAGAGTACAAGTGATTTGAAGAGGGGAATGAGAAAAGTGAGGGGCTAAGATTAAGGAAAGAGATACATACAAAAGGAAGTACAGTAACAGAAAGGGTGTTTGAAAATGTTAGTTCTTATCTATATACCTAAAATTACAAATAATAATCTAAGTCTGGTTTTATATATATGTATATATATACATATATATATATTTTTAAATAAAAATTATTTCCCATTTGGGCTGACAATGCTTCTCCTAAGAGCCATACACTATCTAAATAAACTTCAGCATCAACCATAAGAAGCCATATGCTAATGCTGTTGCCCTTAGTTGTCACCCAGAGGTGGAAGATAAGTTGCTATTGCTGAAGAAACCATGTACTTTGAACATATGACCCAGAGGACCTGAGCTGGATCCTAGAGGAGAACCTATACTGCCACTTTACTAAGCCAACATAATCCCTAACTACAATCTAAATATTTATCCTTATACTCATAGATAAGTGTAGTTCTCACACCTATCAATGAAACTCAGAGAAATGAGAAAAAGAGATCGTGTGGTGCCCAGTTCCAATGAATACATTTACAACACAATTCTTGCACCTAAGACTCAGAAAAGGGGACAGAAGAGTTAGAGGAACACGAAGTTTGTTGTGAGACTGTATCTCCTAGGAAAGTCAGAGAAGCCCCACCCATGAAGTCTTATTAACATGGCTGCCTAAACCGGACCTAACCGATGACAACACCAATAGACATGCTAACATGGAAGGAGGAAATCACACGGGACCCTGTACTAGAAAAAGAACTACAGGAAACTAAGGAATGAGATCAGGAGAAACAGTCTTCTCCAAGGAGGAGCTTCCCAAATGGTTATTCAATACCAAGTAACATTATACAGAATGAGTAGGTTATATTTATATATTTAGAAAAAATATGTAGCAAAGAAAAAGAGGCCATGAATTTGAGAGGGAGTAAAAGCAGCTAGATGGAGGGGTATGTAGAAGGAGGAAAGGGAAGCAGGGGAAATGATATAATCATATTATAATTTCAAAAATAAAACCATAAAGCCAGGCACAGAGCAGATGGATCTCTGTGAGTTTGAGGCCAGTCTCGTAAATATGGTGAATTCCATGACAGCCAGAGCTACATAATGAGACTCTGTCTTGAAATAAACAAACAAAATAAAAATTTTTAAAAAAGAATACTTGTTGGACCAATAGCTGGGGAACCTGAACAGGACCAAACTAGGCCCTCTGAATGTGGCTTGGGAGATCTGTGGGGCCACTGGCAGTGGGAACAGGATTTATCCCTAGTGTATGAACTGACTCTTTAGAGCCCATTCCCTGTGGAGAGATACCTTGCCCAGCAGGGAGGGGCTTGGTCCTGTCTCAACTTTTATGCCAGACTTTGTTGACCTAACCCTTATGGAGGGGTGGAAGAAGGGTTTTGGGAATATGATGGAGGATCAGGAGGAGGGGAGGGGGAACTGTGGTTGGTATGTAAAATGAAAAAAAAAAACCTTTTAAATAAATAAAAAAATTTAAAAAAAAAGCATACTTGGTACTCTCAGAAGTCTCAAGTTTAATGCCCAGCATCCACATAGCACCACACAAGGGTATTCAATGCCCTCTGCAGGTACCAGGCACAAATATGGTACACAATACACATAGAATAAAAAAGTATCTAAGTCTAAAATTATTTATCAGGGATCAGGATGAAGCTCAGTAGTAGAGCTCACATCTAGCGTGTGAAAAGCTCATGCTTTAATCAACTGAATTTTGTTCAGTTTAAGGAAAACTATAATTCAGACTCCAGCCATCTTATGGTAATACTATCTGGTTAAAATATATACAGCTGGAGTCAAGTTTTATGTGTTAAAAACATGAAAATATTAATATTATAGAACAGAGGCAGATATTCAATTTACCTCAAAGGAAAAAAACCTGAGATTTGAAGACATAAATAATCAGGAACTGCAATGTGGGGAGAGGACCATGGACAATGTGGGGAGTACCTCTGTGCATGGCTTGATGCAGAGATGAGGGCTAAACATAGTTACAAGACAATCTGACAAAGCTATAAAAGAAAAAATGAATATCCTCTGAAATGATGCATGCTCAGAATGCTCTTTGTAGTGGGGCCTGAGCTCTTGAAGCTCAGCGAAAGCCACATGCTCATGATTCACTCTCATGGGTATCTGCACAACCTGAGTGACTTAGGACTGTTTGGAATATTACTTTAATTATATAAAGATACATGATATTTGTTTATAATGTGGAATTGTTACATTCGTTTATGTTGTATTTGTTTAATGATATAAAAATGTGTTGCTTTGCCTGCCTAAGGTCTAATAAAAAAAAAAACTGAACAGCGAATAGTTAGGTAGCAGAGGGATAGGTGGGGCTGGCAGACAGAAAGGATAATTAGGAGGAGGAATCTAGGAGAAAGAAAGACGGGGGGGGGGGGGAGGAGAGAGGAGAACAAGGACGAAAGAAAGGAAGACACTTGGGGCCAGTCAGCCAGGCAGCTGTCAGACAGACAGACATAGAGTAGGACACACAGAATGAAAGATCTTCATAATCCTGAAGAAGCAGGCTCCAATGCCAGTGAAGGAATGGACTTGCCTGCAAGAGTAAGAGTAAGCAGGCAGAGATTGCAAGCTTCCTTCTTCCATGTCCTTTATGTAGCATGCCATCAGAAGTTGCTCAATCCAGGAGGCTGGATTCTTAGGCTTTCCGTTGATAGACAACCACTGTTGCTAGAGCTTGTAGGTCACACTAATGAATCATTTTTCTGTATCTATATATAAATTCTATCAGTTTTGTTCCTCTAGAGCAGTGGTTCTCAACCTGTGAGTTGTGACCCCTTTGGAGGCTGAATGACCCTTTCCCAGCATTGATCTAAAATAATCAGAAAACACGGGTATTTACATCACAGTTCATAACAGTAATAAAATTACAGCTATGAAGTAGTGACAAAAAATTATGGGTGGGGTCACCACAACATGAATACTATATTAAATGGTCACAGCATTTGGAAGGTTGGGAACCACTGCTCTAGAGAACCCCAATTAATACACCTGGAAAGTCCTAGCTACTAATCAGGGACTAATGGGAAGAACAGACAGGGAAAGATGACTTACATTTTCTCATTCTTTAAACTTCCACATTATTTTATGTCAAACATTTCCAAGTATATACATTATTTAGATTATATTTGAATTATTCACATAAATAATTCATGTACTTAAATCTAAGTGGACTCAGATTGATATATAATAGCTAGAGATGTTAAAAATACAAATGTAGAAAAGAGTACTTTATGAACACAAGTATTTAATAGAAAATATGAAAAGAAAGATGACTTTCTAACTTGAATAAATGTGATTTTTGTTAGATTATATTTCTTTTCTATGCTTGAAGAGTTCTTCCATGAGAAATGCGAGGACATTTATAAATTTCCATTAGAAACTGTCTTTGGAAATTACAAAATGGAGATGGTTTTCATCAGATACCACTTTTGAAAGCCACCTTCCTAGGAAAAACCTGAAAAGTGCAATGAAGAGAGGCACATCACCAACGTGCATGAGTTTCTGGGTAGAAAACGCAGTCATTCTTGTTCTTAGAGCACAGAGTTGATACCTTAATACTAGAGAAATAAACACATAGAGTAAAACACAATTAGAAGCATGAAGTCCTCTCGTGGGAACAGTGCAGAACGAAACACACACTGAGGCACAGAAATGGACAAGTAACTTACAGGATGCTTGGCTGAAAGTCTCCCCGACACAGTTCCAGTCTGATTCCACGTAGACGAGATGGAGCCCTTGATCATTTAAAAAGAATCAGTTCAGACTCAGGTAATATGGTGTGAGGAAGAATATGCAGGTCCCTCACTTACAGCCCTCCCTGCTCCTCCTGACTATTACAAAACTGTGTTGGGATCACAGGCAACCCAAATAGAAGCAGCAACAGGACAAGTAGATCCATGTGAGTTGTTAAAGCTCTGTGTGGGTTAAGGGGGCTGTGGGGACAGCATAAACTCAAAATGGGACTATGCCACCATTCTGTTGCTTGTTGTGCAGCCTTGTAGTTCACAGACACCTCTAATTATACTTTTCTCATGTGCAAATTAAAACAGTAGTATCTACCCGTGATGGATGTTGTTGGTTGTCGACTTCACTGTATATCTACAATTAACTAAAACACAAGTGCTTGGGTATACCTGTGAGGGACTTTTTTCTTAATTAAATAATTTGAAGTGGGAAGACCCCCTTTTAATGTGGATCTTTTGTGGATGGAAGATACACCTTTAATTCAGATCTTTGGAGGTGGGAAGATCCACCTTTAATCTAGGTCACACCTTCTCCTGGCAGCCTATATAAAAAACATAGAAGAAGAAAGCTTGCTCTCTTTGCTTGTTTGCTCTCACTACAAGTCCATTTCCTCACTGGCATTTATATCCTGCTTCTTTGGGATTCCAGCATATACTGAAGACCAACTGAGACATTAGCCTTGTGGACAACTATTGGATTCTTGGACTTTCTGTTGACAGACAGCCATTGTGTGATTACCTTGACCACAGCCTGTAATCTATTCTAATACATCCCCTTTGTGTGTGTGTGTGTGTGTGTGTGTGTGTTCATATGTATGTTCCTCTAGAGAATTCTGAGTGCCTCAAATGGCTCCAGAAAAAAAAAAATGACAGGAGATGTGAAAGCAGGCTAGCTTAATATATGGAGGATCTGAAGGCATATATTAATCTGCATTATATGGAGACTGAATAATATGGCCAAGAATGAAGAATTTTTTCTCCTTAGGAATGTAAAAGTGGCATGTGTATCTGAACTCAAAATAAACCTTATTTTTAACCCCAATTTCCTTTTTTAAGCTTTGTTACCTTTTTCATATAAGCTAGTAATCCATCTACAAAAGTTGACTTGATCTTGTGAACCTACATCATAAAGACAAGAATAGTTATGCTCTTAAACTTGTTTAAGTACTCAAAGATACCAACTGCAGAGCAGCAGTTTACATAGGGCTGGGAATGTAGTGTAGAATTCACCTTGGACAACCTTAAGTAGTGCCATGATTGAACAATACAGGTCCACAAAGAAAGATGCCAGTCTGTCTCTCTGCAATATTTCTGGGCTACAGAGAAGCTGCAAAGTTGTGCAGATTCTCAAATACTCATCTAAGTGTCCCCAGCAGTGGGCCCTTTCTAGTTCTTTCCCAACCCTTTCCCAAGAGGATGGCTGGTGTGGTATCAGTGTATTTCTGCAGGACATGACCTCAGTAAATAATAGCACTGTTGTTTGGTTTGTAAATGTGGTTAATGGATAACAGAAATTATGAAATAAAGGGAAGGTATATGAACAGAGAAAAAAAGCAGGCATATCCATAAACCTCCAAGAAACATCACTGTCTTGGAGCATGGAAACCAGCGAAATAACAGGACTTTTGTGAGAATTGGTAGAAGTCTTATTCTCACTTGAAGGGACAGGGGGCAGGCCACCAGTCTCCTTTTACATATGACTCCTTAAGCTTCCAGTGTTGGGCAAAACAGACTCAGACTTGAATAAGTCATCATCAGGATATAAAGAAGCAGGGATGACATGAAATTGGTTGAGGAAATCTTATCTCTTTAGAATATGTCTCAGAAAATATGGGGTTGTGAATAGAGAAAAGGTTAGTTTTCCTTCATCACTGTGTGTGTGCATGCACGCACACACACGCACACACACACACACACACACACACACACACACACACACACTCAGAGAGTTACCTTACCTGTCTATATTCCAAAATTATCTTGGGTAATGGGTGAAGGTCTTGTAGAGAATTTAACTAAAAAATGAAAATATGTAACACCAATATAATTTCTTCATTTCAACAATTCAAATGTTTACTTTCAACTGGAGGCTGTCCTAGTAATAAATGATGTGATCTAACGTATTTTCCAAAATAAAGACTCATAGCAAACCCCACTGAATCCCAACCCTTTAAAAAGTTATTCTGATATCCCCCGAAAGCTAAATTATTTCACATGAGCTGAGAAATAAGAGTCTTCTTCAGACTTTAAATTAGCAAAATCTAAATCCCCCATGAAGGAGTAAGTCAGGTGCCTCCAAACATAAAATCCATGCTACAGCAGCTCCCAACATTTGACTCAGAAATCTGGGTGAAACTTCAGGGAGGTGGCACAGCTTTGAATCTTAATGCTACAGTATTGAACACACACTACTGATCCTAATCTGTTAATCTGAAATCAAAAAGTAGCCTATAGTGGTAGATAGAGCTCAGAGTCTGAAAAGACACATGACCTACTAGAAAACTAAGCTATTTATTTCTTGCCACAACAGCAGATACATGGTACTGTCATAAGCTTTCTGTCTTAGTAGGTAGAACATACCTACAAACATACCACACCAGCAAAGTCATGCCTCCTAATAGTGTCACTCTCTTTGGGGGCTATTTTCTTTCAAAACACCATATTCCACTCACTGGCCTCCAAATGATTATAGCCATATCATGATGCAAAATGCATTCAGTCCAACTTCAAAAATCCCTAGTCTATAACACAGTCTCAAACTTATTTAAAAGTCTAAAATTCAAAGTCTCTTTTGAGATTCACATACTCTTAAACAGTGACCAAGTGACAAAGGTGACAATGTGAGGATTATAGGAAGGAGGCAGATTTAGAACACATTTTGTAGGGAGAAACCACAGGACTTTCTGTGAGTGAGGCTGAAAGAAGGTAGCGATGACTCCAGGTGTTACTGATCTTTTGGCCATCTATCCTGTCAGACCATCTTTAGTAATGTCAGGCACACACAGGCATACATATTCTCACTGAAACCTCATAAGGTCCTTTAATCCCAGCACTCAGGAGGCAGAGGAAGGCAGGTCTCTGTGAGTCTGAGGACAGCCTGGTCTATAGAGCGAGTTCCAGGACAGATTCCAAAGCTACACAGAGAAATTCTGCCTTGAAAAGAATCAAAACAAAAACAAAAATAAAATAAAATAAAGATCCAGAGGAACATCCTCTATGGGAGATCCTTATTTTCCTACAATCTTCCACTGAGTCTCATGAGCTAAATGTGAGCAGACAGCATGTACAGGTCCCCATTGTCCTTTGATCTGAGTGCTAGCCTGGGCCAAGAATAATGGACACAACTTTCCCTGTCACAAAGTCAAAAGCTGGATGGCACAGGAAATCTAAACCAGCACTTCAGTCCCTGCTTTCCTACAACAGTTTGAATCTACTTATTCACTCCAATGCCTATCTCTTGGATCAAATCACTTGTCAGCTTTGAGCATCTAGTTATACCTACCACTTAGTACACTGCAGTCTCATTACTATTTAAAAGTGTATTCCTCTTGCCAGGTGGTGGCGGTGCACCCTTTTAACCTCAGCACTCAGGGGGATCTCTGTGAGTTTCAGAACAACTGGCCTATGAGCAAGTTACAGGACAGCCATTGCTACACAGAGAAACCCTGTCTCAAATAAATAAATAAATAAATAAATAAATAAATAAATAAATAAATAGCTTTAAACCAGGTAGGGTAGCATGCACCTATAATAGCAGCATAACAAACAAACAAAAAAGAGCTTGTTTTAAGAACAAAGATTCAGAGGTATGCCAAAATGGTTAATTGGAAACAACCATTGTGTGATGTCAATATTTAGAAAAGTGAGGAAAATGAGGAAATGAGGATGCACTCTAAACTTAAGAGATTAAAAAAAAAAGGAATGGGATGGAAAGGAAAGGGAAGGGAAGGAAAGGGAAGGGGAGGGGAGGGAAGGAGAGGGGAGGGGAGGGGAGGGAAGGGAAGGGAAGGGAAGGGAAGGGAAGGGAAGGGAAAGGAAGGGAAGGGAAGGGAAGGGAAGGGAAAGGAAGGGAAGGGAAACACCAGAAAGCAGAAGAGACCACAGGACAAGTGTCTCAGCTAGGGTTTCTATTGCTGTGTTGAAAACACAATGACCAAAAAGCAAGTAGGGCTTATACTTTCATATTGCTGTTTATTATAGAAGGGAGTCAGGACAGGAACTCCAACAGGGCAGGGACCTGGAGGCAGGAGCTGACACAGAGGCCATGGATGGGTGCTGCTAACTGGCTTTCTCCCTATGGCTTGTTCAGCTTGATTTCTTACAGAACCTAGGGACACCAGCCCATGGCTGGGCCCTCCTCCATCAATCACTAGTTAAGGAAATGCCTCACAGACAGATCTTATGAAAGAATTTCTTCAATTAAGGTTCTCTCCTTTCAGATAGCTCTAGTTTGTGTATCAAGTTAACATAAGACAAGCCAGCACAACAAGTGAAAGTCTAGAGAAAAAGAAAGGCTAAATAGTGGAAAGGAGGAACTATTACACAGTTTCCCAGCAGCAAAGGAAGAGTCATCCTGAGTAGAAACCAAAACGAAACTTCAGAGTCTAGTCTTACACCATAGGTTAAGTGGACATTACAGACATTTACAGAACATTCCATCAAACAGAATACTCATTCTTTTTAGTATCTCATGGGCCTTTCTCTAAAGTAAGTCACATTTTAAACTATCAAGCAAGTCTTAAAATACTAAAAAATCAAAATAATTTCTTGCATCATGTCACATAATTTTAGAGTAAAATAAGAAATTGATAGCATGAGAAACTATACAAATATACAGAGAATGTACACTATATTTTGGAATGGATAGTGGGAAACTGAAGAAATCAAGAAGACCAAAAAGTTCCTAAATCAAATGAAAATTAAATCATACCTTATTAGAATCTTAGTACTTATATTAAAAATTCAGAGAAATCTCAAATAAATCATTTATCAATACATTTCAAAGTAGATTAAATAAGGGCAAGTCAAGTACAAAAGCAACAGATGAAAAGAGAATAAAATGAAATGGGAGCTAAAAGGACAATATGGACTATCATCGAAATAGTTGATTTAAAAAATAAGATTGACAGATCCTTAGCCAAACTAATCAAAACAATGAAAAGAAGACTCAGATTAATACAATTAAAGATGAAAAGGGGAAATTTCTGTAAGTTCCAGAGGATCATTAGAGAATAATTTGAAAACTTATATCCCCAAACACTGGAAACTCTGGAAGTAGTGGATTAATTCCTAAATACATACAACCTACCCAAACAAACCTAAAATGATATAAACAAACAGACCCATAACAGGCAATATGACTGAAACAGTAATACAGAATCTCCCATCCAAGAAAAACTCAAGAAGGAAGGGCAGCTAGAGAGATGGCTTAAGGGATAAGAGTGCTTCCTGTACAAGTATGAAGAACTAAAGTTAAATTCTGAGCATCCGCATAAAAAGCCAGACATGGCTGTGTGTGCCTGCAATCCCAGCACTGGGGGCAGAGACAAGTGGATCCTGGGAGCATTCTGGCCAGCCAGCCTAGCAGAAATGGTGAGCTTCCTGGTTCAGTGAGAAACCTGTCTCAAGGTACTAAGTTCAAGAATTATAGAGGAAGGCACTTGAGGTCTTCTTCTGGCCCATATATGTGTACACATGGCACACACTTTCATATTGGCATATGTGCACCATGTAATACATATTGCACACATAAAGAAAAAAACAGAAGATGCATACCTCAATATAATAAAGGTCATATATGAAAAACCTATAGCTAACATTACACTACAATCAGAGCAAGATAAGGCTATTATCACAACTCTTCATTAGTACAGTGCCTAGAGTCTTACTTAGATTATTAAGAGAAAAAAAAGGAAAGAAAGGAAAAAGGAAAAAAGAAAATGAGACAAACAGAAACAGAAAAAGTCAAATTATCCCTTTGCCATGTGACTACTGGTCTGCTATTTGGCTGCTTGCTGACCACCATGCCTAACTCAAAAGGCATGGTTTTCATTCTTCCTTTCCTCTGACTCCCTCCATCTGAAAGCCTCTGAGATTTCTAACCTATCTGCTCTGGTTTCTTCTAAACACTAACAAAATTGCTTGAACTAAAAAACAACAACAACAACAACAAAAAAAAAAAAACAAAAAAAAAAAAACAACAAAAAGCTGGGCTAAGGAGATACCTGAATGGATGAAACTGCTTGTTACACAAGCCTAACGACCTGAGTTAGAACTCCCAGAAGCTACATGAAAAGTCAATTCAGAAACTAGAGCAATACCTCAGTGGCTAAAAGCAATTGCTACTCTTTCAGGGGACTCAAGTTCAGTTCCTAGCACCCACATTAAGTGGCTCACAATTGCCTGAAACTTCATCTCCATTGGATCCAACTCTCTCTGCAAGCCTTCATGGACAGCTACAGTCATGTGCACAGACACACAAATATGTATACACAGACAGACAGACACACACAAACACACACACACTCTCTCTCATATACACATACTGTACACAATTATCATTTGCCAGAAGTATAGCTAGCCAGATGTTCCTGGAGGTCAGCTACCTGCCCATCTCCTGGTGCACAGCCAGAAGCATAACCTTGAATGGGAGCACCTTGTCCACAGGGTCTGCTGACAGCACAGAAGGAATCTTGTACCTGGTGCATATATATGAGCATGTCAGAAAGATAAAGAAGCTAGACACTTACCATGGCCTCTGATGTGGACAGCTGTTTCTGAAGCCCAGTTCTGGGAAGATGCTTCTTCTGACTCAACAAATGCAGCTTTAACTTGCCAAAGAGGATCTTCAACAAAAGCAGTACACATACGTGAAAAAGATCCAGATTAGAGAAAATGAACATAACCATCACAGCTACAGTCACTGACTTGAAGACATATACTGAAAAAGACAGTAAAAGAGGCTTAGCTCCTCATTTATAAGGTCTTTGACTAAATGTATCTCAAAAATTTCATTACTTTTGAGAACATGAATAACATACCACTTTCAGACAATAATGTAAACTCAGAATAAAAATCTTTTTAATTTGTAAGTAAGACAATTTTTTTTTGAAAGGACAAAACTTAACATTGCCATCCAGGTATGGTGGCCCTTGGCTATAATCTCAATACTCTGAAAGATGAAGCAGGACTGTCATGGGTTGGAGTAAGCATACAGCCTGGGTTACTGACTGAGTTCTAGGCAAGTCTGGGCTTCATAATGAGACTCTGTCTCAAAACAAATGAAATTGAGCCTTACCTCACGAAGCTGATTATTACTCATTATAAGAAATTGTTCTCCTGCAACAAAATGGGCCTCCTGCTCCAGTTCTTTAAGGCGAGCCTGAAAAAATGAAACATTATCATTCATAGATTTGATTTAAAATAATTTAACCTGTTCATCAATCAACTATCAACAAAAGCCCTTAGTGGATTAAAAAGTCATCTATAACTTATGAAAATGAACATTTAAAAGCACACATATTGACTTGTTGTGGAATTTTCAGGCTTATAAAACCACCTTTTTTGAAACATAGCTGAAATTTAAAGAAACAAATATCAAAGTACACAAAAATGAGAAAGGAAAAGAATGTCTTTTTCAACAATTTTAAAACTAGGAAAGGTATCCAGTTCTATAAGAAAGAAGATAGAAAGGTAGAGGTGTAGGTTACAGGCTTATGCCTACAATAGGTAAAGATGCTCTTTAAGTCAGTAAGAAGAAATGTAAACATGAGTGAAAAATGTAGACAAAGTATTAAGTAAAAGCACAAGCCTGATAACCCAAGCTTCACCCCTGGACTCACATGGTGGAAGAAGAACTGATTTCCCAAATTGTCCTCTGACCTCTACACACACACACACACACACACACACACACACACACACACACACACAGAATAAAAAACACTTTTAGGGACTTAGGTAGATTGTTTTTAAGGAGAAATGAATAGATGATGGAAAATGATGATTGAAAAGCAATTTACTTCATCATCAATCAGGAAAACAGACCAAACTCATGCATGGTTTATGACAGTTCAAACAACCAGACGCCTCTTGACTGAGACAGATGTCACCCATGGCAAAACAAACAAATTGACTGATAGCATTGATGCTAAGATGCAGAAGATTGAGAGGCTGTATACAAACTATTGATTTATTCACAGTTCAATATGTTATTTAGACACTGAAACAGAGAACACGTGAATAACAAGAATGAAATGTCTTCCAAGGCAGGGTGGTTGTTACTTTTGGAAGCAGAACACAGTTTCTGGCAGAAAAACTAGCACATAATGCTTTGGCCTGGGTGATGGATATTAGGGTTATCTTTTGGGTAATTTAGATGGAATTAAAAAATATTTTTCATTCGTCTTTATGCATCTTTCCATATTTTCCATTCTTAAGAAATTTACCAATTCCTTAAGTATAGGGAGCAAATGTCCACACAAGAAAAAACAGTTTAACTTAGTCTAGTCCTTGATGGCATATTGTGGAATATTTTGATCACTCTGTGACACTCCAGACTGTCAATAAGGTTTACTTAGAATCGAGGGCAGAGCCAGTGACTAGATGGCCAAAATAGCCATAGAGAAGCCAGCAATTTTTGAAAATCATTTAGAGTTCATAATTGATTTCTCCTGACCTATACTTTCTGTGGTTGAATTTTCTGTAAACCTATCTTATATCCTAAATAATTAATAGAATCTCCTCTTTGCAATTTTTTCAGGAGCAATTGGTAATTCCCCAACAAGGCAAAATTCTCTTCACCAAACATTTTTTTCTAATGTAGCTGCATCTGAATCAGCCAGTAAGATATCATCCATATAATGGTAAATTATAGATCGAGGAAACTGTTTACAAATTAGTTCTAATTTGCTGTTGTACAAAATATTGATATAAGGTAGGGTGATTTAACATTCCTTGTGGAAGAATTTTCTTTGTTTTATTTTTTATATTTTATGCATTCAAAACTGCAATTTTATTGGTTGAGGAGCAGAGTACACAGATATTTCAGTTCTTAACTCATGCACCCAATCTCCGAAGAGTCATACATTGTGTTCGTGTACCCCAAAAAGCCACGTGTTGTTTCTCTTTGAACTTATTCCAGTGATGTTCCAACCTCACACGTGTCAGGTTTTCCCTCAGACCTCACATAACACTCAGATGCTCACAATCCTCAACCCCACTGACTCAGTTTTCTGCCACACACAGTACATACTCAGAATGTCCATCTCTCACAGCACATTACCACAGCTGTTAGGAAAATGGACGGCCATGACCATCAGAGACGTTCTGACAGGGCAAGGACTGAGGAGTAGTTTTTTTAGGAAACAGTTCTATTAGAAACACGAGACCAGATACAACTGAAAGTAATGCAGACACAAATCCACCACCAAGACTCCAATTTACCACTTAGTATGCTTTATGCTATAGGATATAAAACTAGTCCCCTCTACGGAATGTTATGGTGACCCCTGAGACAGTCACAGCCTCTCCTGATTCAGCATTCTGTTTTCTGGTTGTACCAAAAAATAAACAACCAGCAAGTGATTTAACCTCTTAAAAAATCATTTACACTTAAAAAATGTTCCTAGAGCTACTAAAAAACTCACATTTATAAAACAGTTGATAAAAAAAATATTCCTCTGGATTGTACAAGAAGGAAGGCAGGGCCCACTGACAGACAGCATGATGATTAGTCAGTCTTGGCTTCTTTCTCTTCTGCTTCAGAGGCTGGACTCTGGTTCTCCGCTTCTCCATTCTCTGCAGGCAGATCTGTAGTTTGCTGCTGGCCGCTAAAGCCTGTTTGCTCTTTGCTCCCCTCTTCCCTTTTGCTTGCACTTTTTTGTCTGATGATTCATCCTTTCCCTCGGCCTTTTTGGTTCTATGTCCACCTTGGCAGGGGCGGGCTTGGCCAACAGCCTCACAGAGTGGCTCTTGGGCTCCACCTTTGCTGCTCTATCTGTGCTAACCTTCCCCTTGGGCATTGTGGCGGTCCTGGGTGGGAGGCGGGGAAATGCTCGGAAGAATTTTCTAATAGTACCTTTGAACAGTACTGTGAAGCCAAAATTTTCTCTATCCTGAGTTCTTGTAAAGTTATAGTAAAAAAGCTACATAACATAGACAAAATAGACCAGCTCTTAGGTAATTAAGAAGGCAAGGGAATCCTAGGCTTTAAAGATCCCATTGGCTGAATCATCTTATTTATGGCTCTTAAATCTGTTAACATTCGCCATTTTTCAGATTTGTTTTTTAATGACAAATACAGAAGAATTCCAAGGACTGGTCATTTCTTTAATATATTGAATATGTAGATGTTCCTCAACCACCTGTTATAATGCCTGTAATTTTTCTGATTTCAAAGGCCATTGCTCCACCCACACAGATTTGTCAGTTAACTATTTTAAAGGTAGGGATACTGGTACTTTTCAAAGACCAACAGCTGTTGTGCTCTGGTTATGTATAATCTGACCAGTCTGCGATTATTCTTGATAATACATTTTAATATTCCTCTCAGAAGCATTCTTTATTTTATGACTTGTTTCTGAGATTGGATGAATGTTTATCTGTATTTTCCATTGTTGTAACAAACGATGTCCCCACAAATTCATTGTTATAGTTATTAGCCACATATACTTTTAATTTTCATATCTGTCCTTCTGGTCCTATACACTCAACCCATCTTATACTTTGTTTTACCTGAGGTAAAGTTTCAATCCCTAAAGCTGAACATTTACCTCCTGAAGAGGCCAATCTGGATGCCAAGATTTTGATGAAATTATTGTCCACATTTGCACATATTCTATAAAACCCTCAATTTCAATGCCATTTATTTGTATTTTTAGCTTTGGTCAATGACCATTTATAGCAGTTTGCCAAAATATGTGTTTTCTGGTCTCTCCTGAACTTTTTGTTGTATCTATTGAAGCTGTTCTGTCTTGTTCACATCCAGAGAGAGCAGTGTGGTTTTTAACAACAGGTATTGTCTTTTAATTGCTCTGGGGATGCATTTCTCTGATGCTGACAGAGAATGATTGAGCCAAATTTGATATTAGGTTCTGTGGGAGGCCCCTCAGTGCATTTCCTGATAGTAAAGGGTTACCTTGCCTGTCCCTTGTTGATCTGCATTCATCAGTCCAATGCCAACCTTTGTATACCTTCTACAAAATCCAGTAGGCTGGGGCTTTCTGTTTAGATTATCTCTACAAAAAAACTCCCACAGTTTCTAGGAATACCTTACCTACAATACCTTTTCAAATGACCTTGTTTACCACAATTAAAACATCTGACATTTTGATTTTTCTTGAAATTTTAAAAACAATCACTTCTCCTATCCAAGTATCATCATAAGTGTGAAATCCTTATCAGCTATATTTTGGGTCCTTTCATCATTGGATACTGATCTTACCTTTAAGGGCCTAATAATCCTTTTGCATTGTGAATTAGCATTTTCAAAAGCCAAAGATTCAACTAGCATTTGTCTAACTTCTGGATTTGATATCATTCTATTTAGTGCTGAAGTTAAACTTTCTTTTAAAAAAAAATCAGTGAAGGCTTCCTTTGGGCCTTGCATAATTTTAGTAAACGACTCAGTTCCTTTTCTGGATTCTTTAACCTTGTCCCAAGGTTTCAAAGCTGCTATATGGCATAGAGCCAAGGTGTGATCATCAAATGTAATCGGTTTTTACAAATCAGCATATCGCTGGTCTTGGGAAATTTCATACCTCTATCCCTATTTTGTTGTTCTATGGCCCTATTTTCCATTACGTTTTCCACTGTAACCAAGTACTTGCTTCCAATATTGCTATAGCTAAATCTTTCTAGTCTTGTTCTGGAATTTGTTCTGATTTGCCCATTACTTTAACATCAGCTCCACAAAGGGTGAATGCATACCACATGAAATTACTGCTTCCTTAAATCTCTTCAAGTCTAGCATTTCTACAGGATCCAAATTAACTTCTTCATAACCTTGAGGGTACTTATCATCTGGTAGCTGTTCCTGTATGGTAAATGGCTCAATTAAGGTTGGTTTTCCAGTAACCTTAAGCCACTCCTCTTTAGTTTCATAATGCAGTGGTATGTAGGTCCTTCTCTAAATTCCTCTGTCTGTCTTTTTCTTATTTTCATTAGTAGATCTTTTTAAGGTTTAGATCTTATCAGTAGTAGGTCTTTCTAAGGCTTTTATCTTATCAACAGGAAGTCCTTCTAAGATTTGTATCTTATCAGTCAAAATTTTATTACTGCCATTAGTAAGTTTTTCTAAGGCTTATATCTTATCAATACTAAGTCTTTCTAAGGCTTGCATTTTACCAGTCAAAATTTCATATTTGGCACAGTTATCAAGCTACTTTTTTAAGGATAAAATACGAATTGACAAACTGATAGTAATTATAATCGGCATCATTTCAATACCAGCTAAGTGGTTTATCTCATTTATTTTTTCCATTTGCAAGCCATCAGCAGTAGCACTATACAGAGTCCTAACTCCCTACATTGTGATACTGCCAACTCTTAACATTTTCCCACATGTGTCACCAAATTGCTGACTTCTCAGTTTGTCTGTAGCGATAGCACCATCAGGGAAAGGGTTAGGGTTAGGGAAATTTCTAAGCACAGACCCACTTTCTAGAGTCCTGTGAGTGGCTCCCAGAGAAGCCCAAGTGGCATCTATGGTGGTGCCAGCTGGCATGTCTTCTCTATGTGGCCATGCCATGCATTAGAGCACCAAAAGTATTTTTGCCATCAGCTTAATAGCTGCATGTGAATCTACTGCTATTTTAATTATCATCTGCAGCCCCACAGCCCTGCAGTCAGTGATCTGTTGGTCACTCGGAACACAACGTTGCAGGGTTTCTGGTCCCACAACCTGGTTTATGAAGGTCTATGAAGGTGTAAATTAAATTTCTATCATTCTATTTACCAACAAAGATTTAGAAGTTAGATATGCATGTGTGTGTGTGTGTGTGTGTGTGTGTGTGTGTGTGTGTGTGTGTGTGTGTGAAAACCTGCTAGATCAGAGAAGCTGAGAAACGACCAGCTGACCTTCCTTTATGGCCAGAGACATCACAAGAGCTCTGCCACTTTCCTCATCCCAGAACCAAAAGGAAGACTAAACTCTAGTCCCCACCTTTTCCTTCCTGTGGGTCTGCTCCATCCAAATTTCTGGCTTCTTTAAGGCTAATTTCAGTTAGCTAGTCATTGACTCTGCCAGATTCAAGGTAAACTTTACTGACAGTGTAGGGAGTCACAGTGTGATCAAAATAGCCCACAACAATAGCCCATTGAACAGCCCCCAACACACACACACACACACACACACACACACACACACATACACACACACGTTGCAATGCTTGTTCCCCCTTACATGAGTGTGTGTCTTAGTCACTGTTTTGTTGCTGTAAAAACATAACCAAGGCAACTCTCACAAAAGAAAGCATTTGTTTTTTCCAGACAGGTTTTCTCTGTGTAGTCCTGGCTGTCTTGGAACTCACTCTGTAGATCAGGCTGGCCTTGAACTCAGATGCCTGCATCTGCCTCCCAAGTGTTGGGACTAAAGGATGCACCACCATCACCTGGCTGAGAGTTCTACTTTTGATCCACAGGCTAAGGAGGGAGACAATGGGTTTGGCATGAGCATTTGAAATCTCAAAGCCCACCCACAATAACACACTTCCTCCAATAATGCCTTAACTTCCTAATTCTTCTAATCCTTTAAAATAGTTTCACTCCCTGGTGACTAAGCATTTGAATATATGAAACAGTTGGAGTGATTTTTATTCAAACCACCACATTCCCCTCCCTGGCTCCCATAGGCTTGTAAACATATCATAATGCAAAAACCCATTCAGTTCAACTTCAAAAGTCCCCATAGCCTATTATAATCTCAACACTATTTAAAAAGTCCAAAATTCAAAGTCTCTGAGACTTATGGAAATTTCTTAACTTTAATCCCCTGTAAAATCAAAATAAAAAAGCAGATCGCATACTTCCAATATACATCTCTCGTGCTGGGATTAAAGGCATGAGCTCTGTTTCTCTTTTAGACTGATTCAATCTCATGTAGCCCTGGGTGGCCTTGTACTCAGAGTGATCCATCTGCCTTTGTCTCCTGAGGCCTGGGGTTAAAGGTGTGTACCTGGCTTCTATGGCTACTGGGATTAAAGGTATATATCACCACTGCCTGATCTTTATAGTCTGAGGCTAGTTTGCTTTCAGAATCCCCAGACAAGCTTTAATAAACCTAAATAATATATCATTACACCTTCTTGTATCCTTGACTCTAAATCAAGAAATCATGGCTTGGCTGAAGCTGCCAAGTTTTGCTGCTTGCTGGGACTAGAACTTGGCCCCCTTGCTCAATTACATTTGCTTTTTGATGTTGATGGTCTTCTTTACAGCTTAAGCTTTTCTTTAATTCCTTTTTATAAATTGGAAGCTTAGCTGTATGGGTCTTGCCCTGAAGTCACCACTTTATTTACTTAGCATCAGGCTTTTCTTTAAGCTTTTTTTTTAACTCCTTGATCACAGGGATTGTCTCCAATATCTCCTTTCCTGGAGTTCTTTTTCTCCTCACACGGTATATTTTCTATTTCTCTTTGTTCAGCTTGCTCCTTTTCATTGTGATTTCATAGTGATTACTAGCCAGGTGGTAGTGGCACATTCTTTTAATCACAGCACTTGGGAGGCAGACGCAGGTGGATCTTTGTCAGTTCAAGGCCAGTTTAGTCTACAGAGTGAGTTCCAGGACAGCCAGAACTGTTAACACAGAGAAACCCTGTCTCAAAAAAAAAAAAAAAGTGACTACTAATACCACACGATACTGTGACTACTAGGCTGGCTTGAAGCCTCTTTTGCCATTGCCAATAATCCAAAACTCTTCAATTTAGCCTCAGGCAGATTTTTAGGACAAGAGCAAAAAGCAGCCACATTCTTTACCAAAATATCCAGAATGATTTCTAGGCCACTTGCTCACATTCTTCCCCTCTGAAGCCTGGAGCTCAGCTGTTATAATCTGCAGTGCTCTCACCACTACTGAACCCCATGCTCCTACTCAAACAGTCCATTAAACCCTTACTGAAGTGTCCAACCATATTTCTAGTCCAAAATCTTCCATATTCCTCCAAACAAAACAAAACCCAGCATGGTCATGCCTATCACACAATATTCCAAGTCCCTGGCACCAACTACTGTCTTAGTCACTTGTTCTATTGCTGTGAAGAGACACCATGACCAAGGCAAATCTTATATAAGAAAACATTTGACTGGGGGCTTGCTTAAAGTTTCAGAGGTTACACTATTATTATCATGGTGAGGAGCATGCTGGCACACAGTCAGACATGGTGCTGGAGAAGTAGTTGAGAGTTCTACATCCTGACCCATACACCAAGAGAGACACTGGGCTTGGTATGGGCTTTTGAAACCTCAAAGCCTATCCCCAGTCCACACTTCCTCCAACAAGGCCACACATCCTATATTTTAGTTATGAGCCAAGCCTTTAATGGCTGAGCTATCCCTCCAGCCTAAGGCCACACTTCCTAATCCTTCTAATCCTTTTCAATAGTGCCACTTCCTGGTAACTAAGCTTCAAATATGTAAGCTTATCGGGGACATTTTATTCAAACCACTACAGAGCAATAGATGTCAGCCTTCAACACATGGTCTTCCCCTCTAAGAGTCCAGGTGAAGAATGAACAGTATCAACAATACTCTGGGGCCAATGGGGAAGGGGGGAAAATCATAATCTAACAAGAGCAATGATAATTACAGATTCTGAAATGATAGCTTACCCCAAGGAGTGCAGAAGTCTTCTCCATTTCTTCTTTGTCAACTGTAATCTTATGGTTTTCCATCACTGTGAGTCAAAATCAGAAGCAGACCATATTTAAATTGCATTAATCAATCCTTTTCAGTAGACTGAAGAGGTCCCTCTCTGATGACCTAATGATAGCAATGCTCATTTACCTAGGCCCCACTGTAAGTCAATCTCTGTTCTGTGAGGAAACAGAAACATTGAAAGAATTGGCCTGCTCAGGATACAGTCTAGTGACAAAGCACTAAGCACTTATTCATCACAAGCCAGGTCCTTAGGTTTAGTCCCCAGGTAGAAAGGCTGTGGAACTGCACTGGTTCCAGCCTGGCCCTTTGCATATTCTGGATGTAGGGTCACTCCTGGCCCTGCGGCAGGACCTGGTCAGAGGCAAAGATGGGCAAAATCCTGGAGGGTCCTTAAATGGAGGAGCACAGAACTGAAGGATTAGTCTGAAGTTGAGATAACACAGGTGGGTAAATGTCAATGAGACCCCCTTGTGGCTACATAGAACAGGAGGTCTCCATGGGTAGATGCCAGGCCTTCAAGTCCTTCCAGACCAGGAGGTGATGTAGCCCAAACCCTCTTGTTGCAGAAGAGACTATAATATGATAGCAACCTCTTTAGATGAAATGCAGTACCTACTCCATTATATGCTAGAAAAAAATCCATTCCTAAACCATGTAAAGATTCTCCAGAAAGATGACTATATTTTGTTTTTATGGTAACTCACCTGCCAAAATTGGTATCAAAGGAAGCTCCAAAGTACAAAATAGTTGCCATAAGCCATAAGCCTGTTTCACAGAAGAAATAATATCAATATGTTTTTTAATTATTATCTGCATTTTGTTGAAAAGCTACTTGACTTTGTTGTGTTAGGATTAAAGTGACCCCTGTCTAAAGTAACCACTTCATTTTTAAAATTTTTTATTTCATTTGCATTGGTGTTTTGCCTGCATATAGGTCTGTGTGAGAGTGTTGGACTCCATGGAGTTGGGGTTACAGACAGTTGTGGGCCACCACATGGGTGCTGGGAATTGAACCCCAGGTCCTCTGGAAGAACAGCTAGTGCTCTTAACCACTGAGCCATCACTCCAGCCACTTCATTCTTTTTCATAAACACTTATTTGTATAACAGAGAATATTTTATTACTATATGAATATCTGGTAGAAATATTCTGAAATTTCAAAAGGCCTTGCTATATCACTTTGAGGAGTATTTGTGTGATTTTAACCTTCCATTTTAACTACAGGATGGTTCACTGAATTCTAATCATTTTACCTAGTCTTCATTAATCTTGCATTGGCTCTGCAGACTAGTCAGGAGTGTTAGAATCTTTATATTAGGCTGCTTGTCTTACAGCATGAAATCCTTCCTCTTTTATTCATATCACCTTCCATGTTATTTGTTTATTTATTTATAGGCCCTTATTTATATACAGGGTGTCATGTAGCCCAGTCTTGACTCAAGCTATCTATGTAGATGAGGCTGCCCTTGAACTTCTTGCCCCCACCTCCTAAGTCCTAGGATTACAGGCCATGTCCATCAAACCTGATTTACTAAGATGTTTATTGGAGTCTTCCTTATATTCAGTCTTTTCTGCCATCATCTAAGAGTTCTGGGCCTCACCATCTAGTTTACCTCAATTTCTCTGTCTGGCCCTGTACCCTAAGGTAGACTGATCCTCTCCAGGACACATCACCTGGGCTCCTCCTCAACTCTTAGATGTTTTCCTGTTTGGGCATACATCCTAGGGCAGGAGAAAAGCGAAGCAGTTTGCATTAGAGAGCAGGAATGGGAAAGCCTCTGGATATAGCCTGTCCTTGGAAGCATCTCATCTTGCCAGTTTTCTCCATCTTTGCCTCAGGACATAGTCTCTTTTCCTGTAATTCTCCTCAGTTTTTCTTACATTGGCTACAGCTTCCCAATAAAAATCTAAGTGAAACAAACTGGGTCCATTTTGTTGCCAACCAAAGTAAACCAAATCAGAAACACTCTAGTTAATTGTGAAGCTTTAAAACAATTGTTTTCAATATACAGAACACATTTTAAAACTACAGAAATTATCATTTTAGTCTTTCCTTTTCTATGTGAGGCACAGATTAATTTGGCCTTAGGAAAACATCTCATTTCATATTCAAAACAATAAGTGTGAATGTGAGTGTGCATACAAATTAAAATGCAGGTCTTATATAGCCATAAATTACAATATAAAAAAAAAATGCCTTGCCTTCAACTTGGAACAGAGATCCATCGTAAGGTTGTAGAGTATCCTCAGGTCCACACACACATTCTGATTCTTTAAAATGAATACATTAAAATTCAGATGAACTTGGCAGCAATTCTCATAGTCTGGGAACTGGTATCACTTACAAAAGTGTTTCTAGTGACATGGTAAGATACTCCTGGCAAGGTCTCAAACAAAAAGTACCTCCATTGTGCAAAGTAAGCTGTCCACAGGGAAATACTTACTCAGCCCAACATTTTTTTCTTCATTATACAGACAGAAAAACAGAGCTCCTAATGCTTGTTTCAATGATTTAATGATTGGCAGAGTCAGAACAAGGATTCTCAGATTCCACAGTCTCTCCTCTCTGCTCTGTCACACAGAAACAACTCGATGGGTGCTACATTCTACACTAATCTATTCATTAACACTCTAGGACAGGTAAATGGAAAAGCCCAGAGAAGCCACAAACATGTTCAAAGGACAGAGAGGGGATATGGAATAAGAGGCAGTCTCTCAACAGTGTCCTTCCTAACAGAGATCTTCCAGACTTCCTACTCAACATTTCACTCTGCCAAAGAAGCTCAAACTCAGGACTGCTCAGATTTATCTCTGCTAAATCCTCACATTAGAAGAAACTCAAAGTATGTGGCTGCTGGTTGGATATATGCTAACATGCTTCTTCAGTCATTTCCTGATCTTGCCTCCCATGAACAACTCAGGAGATATGAGACAGAGGACCACATCTATACCACCACCTATAACAATTCCTGCAGCTTTCTCAACTACAAAGTGATCAAAAGCTTCCACTTTGAACCATTCTAAGACAGGCCTGTTCCTTGGCATGATACAGCCCCTGAGAGCCCTACATGAACCCTTTCTCCTTTCCCACACTGCCTTGTTGTCCCCTCTAAGGAGCTAATTTCTAGGAGGCCTTGCCATTCCCATGCCATTCCTTCTATCTGAGCTCCCTTCCATTAAGAGCAACTCAAATTACCTCTTTAGAGTCGTACAGAAGCAGATCCCAAAGACTAAATGCTCAACTTCAATCTCTAACTCTCATGAAGCACAAAGTTCTCCACAGCCACATCTCACCATTAACCATGATTGGAATTGCACTTGAAGCTGCCTTTGATCCTCATGAGGCAAGACAAAGGGGCCTCAGGAACAGAGAACAGAGATTTGGAGCTGGTTCACCAGCATCACTAAGCATCTGCTTCAGTCTGCATTAGAGGAACACAGCCTCTATAGCTGATTTTCATTCCATGCAGCCATCTTATCCATGAATCATATGTGGGAATTGTAAGAATAAACTAGATTTAAAGTCATAAATCCAAACTGAACTATGTTATCAACTATACCTTGGGCAAGATGAATGAACAGTAGTAGCATGTGCACATCTAGGATAACCATCTATGAAGTGGGACTAATAATATGCAATTTCTTGCAGTCATATTTCAGCTTCTATTTAGGGAATCTTTGCCTAGCAGAGTAGGATTCTAATCATAAGTAATGGAAGAGGGATACTTTACAAGTGCTAAAACTGAATCTTGGCTCCTACACTGCCACTCTGTCCAGGCTGCGAGGGCAATAGATTCCCATTCTTGCAAGAACTGTATCTTCTCTGATTCTGTAATCTATTTCATGACCTTCTGGTATACCTCTTTTTAAATTCAAGGATACAGTGTTTCTGGTATTTACAGTCTCTCCATATGGAACACAGACTCTTGCTCTACACATGGTAGTTAAGAGGATGAAGGGCAGGAGATGTAGGTTCTCATGTCTCCTGCTGTGCCTTTGGCCATACCTAGACTGAGGTCACAGGAAGTCAATAAGAACATGTCACCAGTGGTAAAGATTTACAAAAGGACAGTTCTCTGCTCACAGAGGAGGTGCTACTGACATTGGAGAATCCATAGAAAAATTACACTGTAAATGAGACTTTCCAGGATATCTTCCTACTTTATTCATTAACCTCTATCAGAAACACCTCAGCCAAAAGGGTTTGGATGGGACAATGAGATGAAAATGGGTGCTAGCAATAATCTTGTTATTATTAGATTATCTATGAGGCAGAAGAAGTCAGGGTTGTATTAAAGTAGATAGAACCTCATCTTAAACATCTTACCACAATATTTCTTGAGGTATCACCAAATGTGCTGCTTGGTTTGACTATGGTGGACTTTTCTAGGTGTTTTGCTACTAAATCTTCAAACGAAGGTGCAGTGTCACTAGGATCTATGAGCCATGCAGCAACTCTGGGATCTAGTCCTACAAAACCTGCAACTACAGAGGTAAAGGTTACTTAGTATCCTCAAATCATAAACAATTGTTGCTTTTCCCATCTTTACACTAAGCAGAGTGTTTTCTAAATATGAAACACTAATGAGTGAGAAACACTTAAATAAATGTTTAGCATCCTTAGTGATTAGGGAAATGCAAATCAAAACTACTGTAAGATTTATCTTATTCTAGTCAGAATGCACAACATCAATAAAACAAATGAGGTCATATGCTGGCAAGGATGCCAGCAGAGGAGAACACTTAATCATTGCTGTGGGAGTATAAATTGGAACAGCCACTGTGGAAATAAGTATGACATTTCCTCAGGAAGCTGGGAATAATCCTACCTCAAGATTCAGCTATACCATTCTTGGGCATATATCAAAGGACTCATATTTTTACTACAGAGATACTTGTTCAATCATGTTCATTGCTGCTCTATTCATAATTGCCAGAAATTGGAAACAGCCAAGATATCCATCAAACTGATAAATGGATAATGAAAATGTGGTATATTTGCAAAATGGAATATTATTCGGATGTTAAGAAAAAATGAATTTTTTTCTGCAGGTAAATGGAGCTAAAGAAAAAAAAATTCTGAGTGAGATAATTCAAACCCAAAATAGAGAACAATTACATGTTTTCTCTTATATGTGGATATTAAGCTTTTAAGCTTTTGATATGTGTTCTGAAATTTAAATAACCACTGATGGGAGATGTCATTCTGTACATATGTTTCTCATACTGGTTAATGAATAAAGCACTGTTGGCCAATAGGAAAGCAAGATAAGAGGAACTAGGAGAAAGGAGGAGAGAGGAAGTAGTAAGAGGAGTCAGCATGTAGAGACGGGAGAGAACAGAGGTCCGGGCCCACTCTCCGGTAAGATGAGACCACGTGGAAATACTTAGATTAATAGAAATGGGTTAATAATTAAGACAGAGCTAGCAGATAAGAAACAAGTAACTGGCCAACAACATTATATCAAATACAGAGTCTCTCGGTGTATTATTTGGGGCTGGTGCCACGGTGGGACCAGGCCAGCAGGAAACACTTTTCTCTTTACAAACCACAGAAGTTTAGGTACTTAGTAAGGAACCAGGGGGGTGGAGAGGATCTTCATATAAGGGAAAACAGAATATAGTGTTATGGGGAAACAGAGAGGAAACAAGAATGGAAGGATTAAATTGGAAGGAGGATGGGTGACCAGGGTATAGGAGAGAATATGAGAGGGACAACTAACGCTAAAGGCCTTTGAAAAGCCACAGGGAAACCTACTACTATAGAAGCTTTTTTGTATGTATGTATGTATGTATGTATGTATGTATGTATGTATGTATGAAAGGAATCTAAATGAAATCATCATATAATGGGAGAGACAATATCCCTACTAGATTTCTTCCTTCTCTTCCTTCCTTCCTTCCTTCCTTCCTTCCTTCCTTCCTTTTTCTGAGACAGGGTCTCTCTGTGTAACAGCCCTAGCTGTCCTACAATTTGTTCTATAGGCCAAGCTGGCCTTGAACTCACAGAGATCAGTCCAGGCTTTGCCTCCCAAGTGCTGGGATTAAAGGCATGAATCAGTCAGTTTTCTACAATGGAGTGTCTGTCACTGGATATAACAACCACAATCTAGGACAAGCCTCATGGGTAAGAGTTAGGCCAATATAAAACAAACTTTATGGGTTTTTTGTGAACTTTTTGTTTCATCTTGTTTTGTAATTTTTTTTATCTTATAGGCTTCTTTATTTGTTTTGATTTTCATTTCTGTATTTTTGTGGGAGTTTTTTTTTGAAAGAGAGAGAAAGAACATAAAACTGGGTAAGTAAGGAGGTAGGCAAAGATCTGAGAGGGGTTGGGGAAGAGAATCATAATCGAAATATATTATATGAAAAAAAACAAATAAAAAGAAACACCCTCCAAGATTAATATTCAAATGATTAATACTTTGTGCTATCCTCTCAAATTACAGAATTAAGTACCCCTATGACTATTATTTCTCAAGAATTTATTTTTTTAAAAAATATAGTAAGTTAGCATAAGTTTGTGCCTTGTAATTAGCGGACAAAATTAGACACATTTAACTGCATATATAAAATGTGTTAATATCACATATGTTCTAAATAATTACTTGATTATTGTTATAAAGTCTTGCTTTAAATGATTTTTCTAGTTGTCAAATTTCTAGTTGTCAATCTATCTTACCATGAAAAACAAGACTTTGTGGTGACAAGAAAAAAATATTTCCTTTCTTCTTTTTTGTATGTATCTGCATATGTGGTCTGTATGTACCTGTTCGTGTGTGTGTGTGTGTGTGTGTGTGTGTACACACGCGCATGTGTGTATATACAAGTAGAAGCCTACAGCTGATGCCAGGAGTATTTCTCAGGCATTCTCCATCTTATTTATTGAGGCCAGGTCTCTCGATATGGCCCTCTAGCTAGCCAGCTTGTTCTAGAGATTCTGTCTCCATCCTCTGAATGTACTGGAATGGAAGGCATACCATCACACCTATTCAACGTTTACATGGGTACTAGGGATCAGAACTTCAGTCCTCACACTCACAAAAATACCTACTGAGCCATGTCTCCAACCCTCTTCAAGAATATCTACCTTGTAGGAAGGTGGCTTGATACACCCAGGTCCTACATGGCTGGTTGATATCAAAGAAATTGAATCCAAACAGCTAAGAAAGGATAGGGAGTCCAAGATCACTTGGAAGATGAATCTCTCAATGAAATCAGAAACCTCTCCTGACTTGGGCTTTTCAGCCATTACAGGTGATAGATCTTCTCTTCCACTTTCTTCCCTGTCTCCTGTCTCCAATACTATTCATAATGCTTCAGCATGGTCTCAGAATCATGCCTCCTAAGTCAGGGAATAAAGGTAGGAGCTAACTGGATTCACACAGTATCCTGCCACTGTGCCAGAG